CTGGGCCTGGGCGCTGTCCCTCAGCTCTTCAGCTCAAGGCGAGCGCTCTACCACTTGAGCTACAGCGCCACTTCCGGTTTTCTGGTGGTTTATTGGAGATAGGAGTCTCATGGTCTCTCCTGCCCGGGCTGGCTTTGAACCGCGATCCTCAGATCTCAGCCTCCTGAGTAGCTAGGATTACAGGCGTGAGCCACCAGCGCCCGGCTTGCACAGCCATTTTCTGTAGGCAGTCCCTCACCTTGAGTTCCTTCCTGTCTCTCCTCTGACTCAAGTACTACAAACTCAGCCTTCCAATGAGCCTTGATCTCCATTTGCAGGCTCTTCTTCCTGTCACCTGCCTCTTCTCTCTTCTCTCTTCCCTGGAGGATCTTGTACTCCCTCCATTTACTTGCTCTGCCAACACTTTATTACTTGAGCCATGCTTATAGCATGGCTTATGGCTTTCGCTGATAATTTTGGAGGCAGATGTCATAGCCTTTTCTGCTTTGCTGGCTTCAAAGTTCAATCCTCTGCATCTCAGCCTACTAAACAACTAGGATTATAGGCATGAATCACTGGTACAGGTTCTTTCCAAACTTTTTAATGCTTTCCAGTTTGCATATGGTATTTTGCTCATCTGCCTTACTTTTCTCAATTTTATCTCCTGAGTAACTTACAAATGCACAGCTAGGGATACAATAGATATAATGTCTTAAAACTTTAGGTGAGTCAAATCTTGGCTCATACCTACTCAGGAGGCTGAGATTTGAGGATTGTGGTTTGAAGCCATCTTGGGAAGGAAAGTCAATGAAACTCTTACCTCCAATTAACAACCAAAGAGCCAGAAGGGGAGATGTTGCTCAAGTGGCAGACTTCAGTGAAAAAAATTCAGCATCAGCACCCAGGCCCAGAGTTTAAGTCCTAGTACTCACAGTCACACACACACACACATACACACACACACACACTTTAATGAATTGTACTTTAATCTTTTTCAATCTATTCAATAATTCAATCTATTTAATCTATTCAATAAATACATATTTGAATAACTAAGCCCTGTTTTAGGAGCTGGAGAAATTAATTTTAACCTTTAAGTGCCTCTGCACTTTGAATTATCTTTCTCTTAAAACTTCTTTTCAAGCTGGGCACCGGTGGCTCATGCCTGTAATCCTAGCTACTCAGGAGGCTGAGATCTGAGGATCATGATACAAAACCAGATTCAGATTCATATCTTCCTTTAACCACCAGAAAACTGGAAGTGACACTATGGCTCAAGTGATAGAGTGTTATCCTTGAAGAACTGAGGGACAGTGCGCAGACCCAGAGTTCAAGCCCCATGACTGACAAAACCAAAACAAAACAAAAAAAAACCCTTCTTTTCAGCCTTTTAAACAATTCCTAATTTAACTATCTGCTAAATTGGCTTGGGTCCAAAATCCCTCAGTGGTTTACCAGGCCTGGATCTCTGTTTCTGTGTGTGTGTGTGTGTGTGTGTGTGTGTGTGTGTGTGTGTGTGTGTGTGTGTGTGTGTGTAGGTGAGTGTATTACTCACTAAGGTACTTAGCCCAGTTGTTGATGCTCTACACGCTCATCCCCATCCAGTCAAAGCTGGTGGAAAAATGGTACCTGCCCTTCCTTTCCTCTAATCCAATGTCCAAGATGTGGATGGAAGTGCCCACTCAGATAATACTGTCCCAGAATGTCAATGTCTCCCAGGCCACCTACTTTCCTGGGAACTTTGAGAATGTCTTTTGTTCCAGCCCCACGCAGGGAAGAATCTTAGCAGCCAATTTTAAGGTGGAAACCAACAGTACTGTTTGAAGTCGCCTATTCTCCCTTCTCATGGACATTCCTAAAATCGAAGGGTCTTTATGGAGGAGCAGTTTTGCTAATTGAGGGATGTTCAAGATCCTCTCAGGAGAAATGGAATACTTACTAAGCCTGTGCTAATGGCGAAGAATGAAGATAGGCTAGCTGGTCACTTTATGTCTTTCAGATGTGCAGAGTGGCTCTTCCTTCTCTACTTCTCTGAATCAGTTAGGCTCAGTTCCATGTCTCTCTCTTGGCTTCAGCTCTCTCACCTGTCTTCTTCCATCAGCCAGCAGCCTGACTACTAACACTAGTTTCCTGACTTGGGTATGGTGGCCCAAGTCCATCCTGCTTTGGGAGGAGATGATGGGGACAAGGAAAACATGCCATGGGCACTTTCTTTCCTTTCTCAGGCCTCAAGCCCCCAAATATAAGCGAGGCCTTCCTAGTGGGGTCAGGATGAGCTGGAGGCGGCACATGGGCATATAGAGGGAAAAGCATATAGAGGAGGAGCGGAGGGTTGGAGCAGAGGACAGGAGAAGCAGGAGGAACCCCTAGGGAACGTAGTCGCCAAAGCCATTGAAGGGAAGTGAGGGAGGACCGCGCAGGCTCTGACAGCCCAGCCCATTCGAGGCCCCCAGGTTTCCTGTCTCTATTTCTCTCAGCTTCTTTTCCCTCCTCTCTTATGACATTTCCCCCCAGGGCCTCTCCTCTGCCAGCTTGTCTGTTTCGGTGTGTGTCTCCTCTTCTGTCGGAGCGGGGAGGAGGGGGGTCGGGGGGAGGGTCTCAGCGACTGTCCGTGGGGTCTCTCCATCTCGCCCCAGTCTCACCCTCCAGGTTCCGCCCTCTGGGTGGACGGTGCTTCTGGAGCTCCGCCCTCGAGCCATGCTATTGGTGGAAAGGTGGAGAGAAGGCGGAGTCTAGGCGACCTCTGAAGCCGCGATTAGTTGAGGCCACCTAGAGGCGGGCGGGAGGCGGGTCCTGCCAGGAGGCGGGCGGGGCCGCTGGGGCCGAGCCCAGAGCTCCGGGCGGTCGCATTGTTTTCCTCCGCGGATCCGAGGAGGGAGTGGGGGCCGCGACTCGAACCCTGGGCTCTCCTAACCCGACAGCGCCTGGGCGCCCACATCCAAGTACCGTTCAACCGGGACGCTCATCCCAGCTCACCTGAGCCCCAATCACGGATTTCGAACTCTGCACGGCGCGGAGCTGCTGACCGCCTGCTTCGATCTCCAGCCTACTGACCCGGATCTCGAGCAAGTACCCCGGGGCGGGAATGGAGAGGTGGGGGGTGTGACGGGGCCGCTCGCAGGTCGGGGTCTGGCTTCCGCTGTGCCACAGCGACCCGGGAGGGGTCACCGGCTTGCAGAGGGGGGTCAGCAGAGTTGGGTGCTGGGGGGGGGAAGGGGTCCGCGGCGGAGCCCCCCCTCCCGCCCCCCGCACTGTTGGACGCTGGGGCTGCGCTCGTGCTCCTCTTCCCACCATTCTCACTTGTGTCGCCTCCTGCAAGATTCCAGGAGCACCAAGATGGATTTTTTTTTTTTCCCGAGGCGCGCACGGTACAGAGGGTGGAAAGCCGCCCCCCCCCCGCCTCCCCCGCAGGGAAAACTGAGGCTCGGAGACCCGCGGAGGGCCAGACTCCCGAGGCCCCTGCAGGGATGCCAAAGGCGATGTGTGGTTCGGACTTGGGTGTCAGGGCTGCAGCTTCGTCCTTGTGCAAGCAGGAGTCCGAGCACGCCCTGGGGGATCGGCTTGAGCAGAGTCGGGGTCTGGGGCATCGTCCCAGCTCCCGTCTCCTTCCTTCGCCCCCTACTCGGTCCAGGGCTTTGTTAAGAGGAGGACCGAGGAGGAGGAGAACCGGGCATCGCCGCTTGGCGATGCCGCTCAGCGCCGGCCCGGGGCCCCGGGGCCCGCCCTCGTTGGTGCTCGGCTTCTGGCGCCGGTTCCCGGGGCCGGGGAGACCCGCCTCCGCTCCCCCACCCCCGCTCGGTCCCCGCCGCCCGGCGCCTGCAGGCCCCTCCAGCCCCTCCTCCCGCTAACGTGGCTCTGGGACCCGGTCCCGGCCCAGACTCTGCTGCCCGCCCCTCCTTAGCTTCACTGAGCGGGAGACGTCGAGCCCCTGGCCCGGAGCCCCGCCGCCCGCGAAGCTGGGGACACCTGGCTTCTCCTCGTTGGGGGCTGGGTGGGAGGGAGGCAGGGTAGGGGCCGAGCGCGGAAGGGCGGAGGGGAAAGGTCTTGGAGATCCGAACGCGTCTGCGCTGCTGGGCTCCCCGGGCACCCCCGACGCCCCCTAAAGAAGGTGGGCTGAGGCGGGAGACCAGCGCCAGGGCTTCCTGCTATTGTCCCCAGCCCGGCCTCCTCGGTCCCTTCCTCAGCTCCGCTAGACTCTGGCTATGACCTCGGCCACTCCCCAGAGGTGGCTGCTTGCCCCACGGAGAGGAGGGCTGAGTCCTTCTCCCAGCCTGGGGGCCGGGGGGGGGGGGGATCTGAAAGGGGAGGAAAGCGTGGCCAGGTGTGTTCCTAGGGTTCCTCCAAGTCTCTGTGAGCCTCTCCCCCACCCAGACCCGAGGTTGGGTGGGAGCCACCCAGATGCTGCTTCCCCCAAGCAGCTATGGGAAGTCCTCTTAAAGATGTATCACAGTTGAGTCTCCTGGGCCAAGGCAAAGGCCAACCAAGTGTTTTTAGAGGCTGGACTAAGCCAGCCTGAAGTGTGTGCCAGGGGGGCGGTGTGGGGAGGTTGGTGGAAGAGGCCGGGCCTGCTTTCTGAAGGAAGAAGGGACTGGGGTGGGGGGTGCTCCCTATCAGAGCATTTTGCCTGGAAATGAAGAGCATGCAAATGAGATGTAAATTAGCCTCTATTGTCCCTAGCTTGGGCGCTTTTTGCTGAGAATGCTGTTGGATGTTGAAGGTTTCAACATGGGAGTGGTCATCGTGTCCCACAAACTCTCCCGGGCACCCCTTTTCTCAAGGCTGGTGCCCAGCTTTCCGCAGCTTCTGGCTCGGGGCTCTCCCCAGTATGAAGATGTCAGTGCCTTTGTCACCGAACTAAATGTCAGCACCCCTCCTCACCCACGAGGTCCCCCTCCCAAAGCAGCATCTCCCCGATACTAGCCTCGGCAGACTTTGCCTGAATTCTCACATTGACTTTTAAGGGATGTGTTCAGCAAAGTGTAACTTAGTCTTTTTCCTCCTTTTGTCCCTTCTTCTGTCAGGTCAGAGGTCTCCTAAGTTCCCTCGGGTCCCCCACAGGACTCCCCACCCCAGGTAAGAAAGGGCAGGCGAGTCCTGGGGGCCGGGGCTACAAGCAGGCCCTGCCAGGGAGCAGGAAGAGGGTCTGGCTATTTTCCCCACTTGTCAGAGACCAAAGTTGTTTCCAGGGTGAAGATACCAGTTGCCCTGGGCAACTTGAGGGGGGGCAGGTAGGGGAGCACGGGAGACAAGCTGTGTCCCTTTCTCTTCCCCTGGGAGCATCAGCATCCGGAATCATGGGCTGCGGGAGAGAAGGAGGCTAGACTTTGCCACACCGGAGGGTCGTTAGCTCGCTGACTGTCTGCCTCTGGGGAAGAGGGGGTCATCATTAGGTGTTTCTACCCCTTCCCTTCCTCCAGCTCTCATGGGGCTCCACCTGACGTCAGCCTCCCCACCAGTGACGCTGGAATGGGGGTGGGGGACAATGGGTCCTGGCTTTGAGAGCAGAATTACTGGGGAGATGGAAAGAGACTGGGCTTTAAACCCAGGGTTTCTTCTTTAGAGGGGGACATGGGCTGGCCGTGATCTGTTCACAAAAGAAAGGATGCTTCCCCCTTCTTGACCTGATTTCCGGCGCCTCCTCAGCCCCTCATTTCAATGTCAGGGAAAGGCAGGAAGCTGATGTGCGCCTCCCACTGTGGGTCCAGCCAGGGTCAGCTGGCTGGGGGGGCTGATGAGTGGGAATGAGACCCGTCTCATCATCCCTTCCACCATATCCGTCTTTTCTCTGGACTTTGGGCTACAATTGCCTGTCATTGAATTATTTATATTTCAATTTCAGAGGCAGCCCAATGAGGGAAGAAAGGAAAAGAGAGGCACGTTGAGCTATTAAGCTTCACCAGTCCCTTCTCTCCCCGGCTCCTCATAGTTGGGGAGGAGGAGGTCTGTTCTCCCCCAAATCAAGTCCTTAGGAACCAGGGAGGGAATAAGGGGCTAGAGAGGCTGGGAGGGGGCCCAGTGGTCGAGGAGACAGCTGCAGCCAGAGCTAAATTTAGCCTCTGATCTGGCTTTGATGCAGATTCATTTTTGGCTAAGATTGTCGCCCACCCCCCCCTTTTCTCCCTCCCTGCCCAGCTTCTTCCCTAGCATTGGAAGGACCCCTGAAATAGAAGCTTGGACCAAGACAATACCTCCCCCCCCCCACCAGGCTATCTGCCCCTGCATTCTGGTCTTCCTCACCCCTAGAGAGGCTGGGAGCTGCCACCCAGCTGTGGGTGCCTGGGCGTGGTGCCTGCATTGCTCCCAGGGTGCCGTTGGGGTCTGGGAGGGAAAAGGAGCAGTCTTAGTGCCCTCTGCCTCTTCCTCGTGCCAAGGAGTCACTATTTATAATTTTAAGGCTTCAGCGTCTAATTATAGCTGGAGAAGGGGTTAGCACAAGGGGGGCCAGGAGGTGTCACCTACCGAGTGTCCCAGCCAGTCAGGAGAGAAGAGTGAGAAGTCTGGGAGGGGGAATGGGAGCTAGCGTGTCCTGTCCTTACCTGGGGTCATGGGGGGGGGGGCCTCACACAAGCCAGTTTGGGCCAGTTGGAGAGGGAAGAGCCTTAGTGACAGTGACAGCTGGTTGGCACTGGGACAGTGTGGACGAGGGCTCTAACCCCCACCTTACAAGGTCTTCTGGGGATAGGCGTGGGGAAGAGCCTACAACAGGGTAGAAGGAAAGGGTCTCTTCCCCCACTTTTCTGTCTCCCCTTTCAGGGCCAGCTTATGGGTGAGGGGGCACCCCCGGGGGCCTGAGCTGCCCCGCACAGGATGCCCCGAGCCCCCTACCTCATGCCCTTGCTGCTACTGCTACTGCTGCTGCTGCTGTCACTTCCCCACACCCAGGCTGCCTTTCCTCAGGACCCCCTCCCTCTGTTGACCTCTGACCTGCAAGGTGAGTGCCCTCTACCCACCTCGCCCTTCTCATGAGCAAGGGGAGACTGAGACTCCTATGTGGGAGGCAAGGTACAGAAAGGCTCTGAGAAGCTAGAAGCCCAACCAGCAAAGGGGAAGAAACAGATTGAGCTGGTACCCGATATTGGTTACTTCTCATCCTGGGGTCTGTATTTTTTTTTATTATTATTTAAAGGCAGTATCATTTAAGAATATGAGCTTTTGCCAGGCACTGGTGGCTCACATCCTAGCTACTCAGGAGGCTGAGATCTGAGGATCAGGGTTTGAAACCAGCCCAGGCAAGAAAGTCCATGAGACTCCCATTAACCTTAAAAATGGAAGTAGAGTTGTGGCTCAAAGGGGTCGAGTGGCCCGGGAGCCCGGTGGCTTGTGCCTATAATCCTAGCGACTCAAGAGGCTGAGATCTGAGGATGGTGGTTTGAAGCCAGCCTAAGCAGAAAAGTCCCGATGAGACTCTTATTGTCAATTAACCACTCAAAAAAGTGGAGTGGTGCTGTGGCTCAAGCACAAAGAGGCTCAGAGACAGACAACATCCAGGCCCTGAGTTCAAGCCCCAGGACTGGCACACACACACACACACACACACACACACACACACACACACACACACACACAGAATATGAGCTCTGCCACCTGCGATAGTGCACTTCTGTAATCTCAACACTGGGGAGGTTGAGACAGGAGGATCTCAAGTTGAAGGCCAGCTTGAGCTACATAGAAAAACCCTACTAACAAAACAAAAAAGAACTTGAGCTCTCAGCCAGAACAAAACTTAGCATACTTGAGTATCTGCTAAGCTGGTTATTCGCTGTGTGACCTTGTAAGGTTATCTAACCTCCCTATGCCTCAGTCTCCTCATCTGTAAAATGAAGATAATAATAGTATTCTACTTCACAAAGTTATTTGGAGATTAAATGAGGTAATAGATACAAATGAAGTAAAGTGCTGAGAACACTGTCTGGCATGAAGTAAATGCCTTATATTTGTTTGTTTTATTTTTGGCTACAAAGTAAAAGCCTGGGACTACTACAGTGGTTCCCAACAATTCTTACCTCCCTGTCAACTGTTTGTACGACCAATAAGCCTGTGTCCCAACATGACAGAAATTAGAAGCCCACTTTTTCTAAAACTTGTATCTGTTGACAGGCCCTTGCTTATATATTTAGGTTTCTGTTTGTTTGTTATTGTTGTTTTGGTCTTTTTTTGGGGGGGGGAGATGAGGGTCTCTCTCTCAGGCCTAGGCTGTTCTGGAACTCATGATCCTCCTGCCTCAGCCTCCCAAGTGCTAGGATTACAGATGTGCACCACAAGCCCAGTTATATATAAGACTTGGAGTAATTTTAAGAAGTAAGGAAATGCAGTTGAGATACTGGAGGTAATTGCTGGGGGACAGATAAGAATAACTGACAAGGGCTGGGAAGGTGGCTCAGTGGTAGAGCGCTTGCCTTGCATGCATGAGGCCCTGGGTTCAATTCCTCAGCACCACATAAGCAGAAAAAGCCGGAAGTGGCGCTGTGGCTCAAGTGGTAGATTGCTCGCCTTGAGCTGAAGAGCTCAGGGGCAGTGCCCAGGCCCAGAGTTCAGGCCCAGGACTGGCAAAAAAAAAAAAAAAAAACTGACAAAATTCCAGATGCAACCCTCTGGCATTTTATGAATAAAAAATTATCTATCCCTAAACTCTTGGCTTCCTTTGAACACTGATGACAGTGGTTTCAAATTACTTTTTTTTTTTTTGGTCAGTCCTGGGGCTTGAACTCTGGGCCTGGACTCTGTCCCTGAGCTTTTCAGCTCAAGGCAAGCGCTCTACCACTTAAGCCACAGACAGTGGTTTCAATGATGAGACCAAGTCGATAGCTGGAGTGGGTCTGAAGTGTACAAGTAGCTGGGCGCTGGTGGCTTATGCCTGTAATCCTACCTACTCAGGAGGCAGAGATCTGAGGATCATGTTCCAAGCCAGCTGAGGAAGGAAAGTCCATGAAATTCTTATTTCCAATTAACCATTAGAAAATTAGAAGTGGGGGCTGGGAGGTGGCTCAGTGGTAGAGTGCTTGCCTTGCATGCATGAGGCCCTGGGTTCGATTCCTCAGCACCATATAAGCAAAAAGAAAAAAGCCGGAAGTGGCACTGTGGCTCAAGTGGTAGAGTGCTGGCCTAGAGCTGAAGAGCTGAGGGACAGCGCCCAGTCCCAGAGTTCAGGCCCCACGACTGGACCCCCCCACCCCAAAAAAAAAAAAAAAAAGGAACTGGGCTCAGCTCTGGAATCAGACAGTTTAATCCAAATGAGCTCCTAAGTTCCCTGCTGCTCCCAGCCTTATGCTCCTCATCTGTGAAGTGGGGCCAAAGTGAGTACCTACCTCAGAGGGTTTGTGTAGTAAATGAGACAGTGCATGTAGAGTGCTATGTAACCCAAGTGTGGCTCAAATGGTAGAGCACTAGCTTTAAGCACAAAAGCTTCAGGGACAGTGCCAGGCCCGGTGTTCAAGCCCCAGAATCAGCACAAGAGAAAATTAAACAAATAAAGTACTAAACAAGTGCTTGGCAGGAATTAAGTGCTCAGTGTTACTGGTATTATTAATTTGTGTGTGTGTGTGTGTGTGTGTGTGTGTTAGGGGATGGTGGTAGTAGAGACGAGGTCTTGGGGGCTTAAACTCAGGGCCTGAGCACAGTCCCTGAGGTTTTTCTGGTCCAGGCTAGTGCTCAACCAACTTAAGCCACAGCTTCACGTCTGGCTTTTTGGTAGTTAATGGGAGATAAGAATCTCATGGCCGGGCTGGGAAGGTGGCTCAGTGGTAAAGCACTTGCCTTGCATGCCTGAGACCCTGGGTTCGATTCCTCAGCACCACATAAGCAAAAAGAAAAAAAGCCGGAAGTAGTGCTGTGGCTCAGGTGGTAGAGCACTAGCCTTGAGCTGAAGAGCTGAGGGATAGTGCCCAGGCCCAGAGTTCAGGCCCCACGACTGGATCCAAAAAAAAAAAAAGAATCTCATGGCCTTTCATGCCCAGGCTGGCTTTGAACCTCTGTCTTAAGATCTCAGCCTCCTAAGTAGCTAGGATTATAGGCATGAGCCACTGGCTCCCGGCTCACTGGTATTACTTTTATGAATAGCCTTGGGACCCCTCTTACTTCACGTCTCCACTCTGTACATGGCCGTGTGTCACTGGTTAGACAGGGAGTCGAGGAAGAGGGTAGCATCCTGGCTGCTCTCAGCAGTCCACTTCTCTGTCTTCTAGGTACTTCCCCGTTAACTTGGTTCCGGGGCCTGGAGGATGATGCTGTGGCTGCAGAACTTGGGTTGGACTTTCAGAGATTCCTGACTTTGAACCGGACCTTGCTAGTGGCTGCCCGGTAAACTGGCCGAGGCCCAGTTGTGGGGCACACATGCATGCTCCTGGGCAGACATGGGACTTGCATGGCCACTGCAGCATCTTGCAGGGGACACATGCAGGTGCACAAGCCATGGGACATGGACATGCTTGGACCCAGTGCACAAATGCCAAGGCATGGAATAAAGAGGAGGGGAGGGGAGGAGGTCCGTGTGGTTTGTCCCTAAGCAGGTGATGAGGAGCAAGGTTGGGTAAGCTCAGGCAGGGTGCGTTGGCTCAGCTCTGATCCCTCCTTACTTCCTCTTCAGGGACCACGTTTTCTCCTTCGATCTTCAAGCCCAAGAAGAAGGGGAGGGGCTGGTGCCCAACAAGGTGAGGAGCTGTGTGGGAGGAGGCGCAGGCCTGGAGAAGAGGCCAAGCAAGTTCTCCTGGGGGGCACGAGGGTGGGGAGAAGGCGCTGAAAGGAGCTGTAATGTGCGGAGAGGTCAAGGTTGTTCCATGGTTTTCCTTCTTTTGTGTTTCCTTTCAGTATCTAACATGGAGGAGCCAAGATATGGAGAACTGTGCGGTGCGGGGGAAGCTGACGGTGAGGAGGGGATGAGCACAGCGTGGCAGTGCTCTGCTGCGGCCAATTCCTTACCCACGTCTCGCTGCCAGCCCGCAGAGGACAGCGGGAGGAACGAGAGCTCTTGCTTCTGATTTCCCTTTGGACACCTCACCAAAGAGAGAGAGAGAGAGAGAGAGAGAGAGAGAGAAGAGGGGCTGAATGTGGCTCAGTGGTAGAGTGCTTGCCTAGCATGCATGAAGCCCTGGGTTCAATTCCTCAGTGCCACATAAACAGAAAAAGCTGGAAGTGGTGCTGTGACTCAAGTGGTAGAGTGCTAGCCTTGAGCAAAATAAGTTCAAGGACAGTGTCCAGGCCCTGAGTTCAAACCCCAGGACTGGCAAAAAAAAAAAGAAAAGAAAAGAAAGAAAACAAAACAAAAGGAAGGAAGGAAGGAAAGAAGGAAGGAAGGAAGAGAAAGAAGGAAAGAAAGAAGGAAAGAGAGAGAGAAAGAAAGAAAAGTCGGTTGCTGGTGACTCACACCTGTAATCCTAGCTACTCAGGAGGCTTAGATTTTAGGATTGTAGTTCAAAGCCAGCACGGGCTGGAAAGTCCGTGAGACTCTTGTCTCTAATTAATCACTTGAAAACCTTTGAGCAAAAGAGCTCAGGGACAGTGCCCAGGCGCTGAGTTCAAGCTCCATGACTGACAGAGAGGGGGATGGGGAGGAAGGAAGGAAGGAAGGAAGGAAGGAAGGAAGGAAGGAAGGAAGGAAGAAAAATGAGGCTCAGAGAGGCCAGAGGCTAGCAAATAGCTTAGTCTGGAAGCTTAGCCACATACTCTGACTGGCTTAGGGATAGTAACCTTACTTCCTGTGACCCCCAATCCCAGTCAAGGGGTCCCCTATCACTAACCTAGAATTTTGGATTCTCTAGGACGAGTGCTACAACTACATTCGTGTTCTCGTTCCCTGGGACTCCCAGACACTCTTGGCCTGTGGGACAAACTCGTTCAGCCCTATGTGCCGCAGCTATGGGGTACAAAGGAGGTCTGGGGCGGGCCGGGGTAGGGAGGAGAGCTCAAGAGGAGCGATCGCTTTGGTGGGAAGGGACTAGCGGTTGGGAATGGGCATGCCTGGCATGCAAGGATTCTGAGGGTTTGGGGAAGGAGGTGAGGGGGCTGCAGAGCCAGATTCCAGAACCCAGGGTTCTAGAACCTGCTTCATCTGTCTCCAGATAACTTCGCTGCAGCAGGAGGGTGAGGAGCTGAGTGGGCAGGCTCGATGCCCCTTTGATGCCACCCAGTCCAATGTGGCCATCTTCGCAGGTGTGCACCTGGGCGTGTGAGGAGCTGGCATATGGCTGGCGGGAGCTCCTCCCCCAGCTTGGTGTTTTCTCTGTGTCCCTGAGTTGGAGGGGTAGTCCTAGGTAGGGTGTGGGGGCCCACGCAGCAGACAGGGAACAGACTTCTGAGCCCTTCCCTCACCGGCCTCCCCATATCTTCAGAGGGCAGTCTGTACTCAGCCACCGCTGCAGATTTCCAGGCCAGCGATGCTGTCGTTTACCGAAGCCTTGGGCCTCAGCCCCCCCTCCGTTCGGCCAAGTACGACTCCAAGTGGCTCCGAGGTCAGGGCCTGCCTCGGGAGGGAGGCTGTTCTTGGAGGGTGGACTGTGTGGGGACAGTGGGAAGATACTTGCAGAGGGAAGAGGGGGAGGAGCTAAGAGTGTCTGAGCAGCTCTATAAATGCTCTTCCCTCCCCTTTCCCGTCCCACCCCTAGAGCCACACTTTGTCCATGCCTTGGAACATGGAGAGCATGTTTACTTCTTCTTCCGAGAGGTCTCTGTGGAGGATGCCCGGCTAGGAAGGGTAAGGAGCTGGGCATCAGGGGTGGGTAGCCGGAGAGTCCTGTTGACCCTGAGGAGCTGGTTTGAGTCCAAGGGAAAGTTTCAGGTTCTCATCTCTACCACACAATTTCCTGAATAGCCCCCAGCTCTCTGCCGTGACAGAAGCTCTGAGCCTTATCCAAATTGACCCTTCACATCATTCCCTCTCTTTGCTATGGCCCATCTGCTTTTTATTTTGCGGAGTGGGGGGGGGAAACCGGTCATGGGGCCTGAACTCTGGGCCTGGGCGCTGTCCCTCAGCTCTTCAGCTCAAGGCTAGCACTCTACCACTTGAGCCACAGAGCGACTTCCAGCTTTTTTTCTTTTTGCTTATGTGGTGCTGAGGAATTGAACCCAGGGCCTCATGCATGCAAGGCAAGCACTCTACCACTGAGCCACCTTCCCAGCCCTTTATTATTTTCTTAAAGAAGCAAATGATGAGCCTAGTGCTGGTTATCTCCTACTAACCACCAGAAAACCAGTAGTGGTGCTGTGGCTCAAAGTGGTAGAGTGTTAGCCTTGAGCACAAAAGTTCTGGAACAGGGCTGGGAAGATAGCTCAGTAGTAGAGTGCTTGCCTTGTATGCATGAGGCCCTGGGCTCCATTCCTCAGCACCACATAAGCAAAAAGAAAAAAGCCGGAAGTGGTGCTGTGGCTCAAGTGGTAGAGCATTAGCCTTGAGCTGAAGAGCTGAGGGACAGCGCCCAGTCCCAGAGTTCAGGCCTCACAATGGACAAAAAAAAAAAAAAAAAAGTTCTGGAACAGTGCCCAGGCTCTGAGTTCAAGCCCCATGACAAAAAAAGCAGGGGTGGGGGTGTGTGGGGAGGTGGCTCAGCAGTAGAATGCTTCCCTCAGGGTTCGATTCCTCAGCACCACATAAACAGAAAAAGCCGGAAGTGGCACTGTGGCTCACGTGGTGGTAGAGCGCTAGCCTGGAGCTGAAGAGCTGAGGGACAGCACCTAGGCCTAGAGTTCAAGCCCCACAATCAACCAACCAACCAAAAAAAAAAAAAAAGGGTAGCAGTATTAATCACTTTACTTGTTTGTCAGGTCACAAATTATCAATATTTTTATAAACTTACAATTTAAAATGGATAGCCTTTTCACTTAAATATTTAAGTAATTCCTCTTTCCCCCGCGTTTGCTTCTTGGTGCTGATCACTCAGCACGTTCCTTCCAGCCAACTGGCCCCGTGGTTCTCCGCCTCTCTTGCTGGCAGGTGCAGTTCTCCCGGGTGGCCCGGGTGTGTAAACGGGACATGGGTGGCTCACCTCGAGCCTTGGACCGCCATTGGACATCCTTCCTAAAGCTGCGGCTCAACTGCTCTGTTCCTGGGGACTCTACCTTTTACTTCGACGTCTTGCAGGCATTGACTGGGCCTGTGAACCTGCACGGTCGCTCTGCGCTCTTTGGAGTCTTCACCACTCAGACCAATAGGTTGGTCCTTGGCTGGCTAGTACTGAATCTGTTCCTTGTTCTACCTAAGTTCAAACTCCCCTCTTAAGTTCTATTGTTGGAGACAGTGAGGGTGTACTTTAAACACATCTGGTTTTCTGCTCTGCCCACTTGTTTTTCTTCTTCTCCTAGCGTGGCAGCCAGTGGCCGCCGAGCCCCGGCTCTGCCTCGTGGCGTAGTGCAGGCAGGAACTTTGCAGGCCCTTTCTTTCATCCCGCATTTTTTCTGGCTTCCTCAGCATTCCTGGCTCTGCAGTCTGCGCCTTCTACCTGGATGATGTTGAGCGTGGGTTTGAGGGCAAGTTCAAGGAGCAGAGGAGTCTGGATGGGGCCTGGACCCCTGTGTCTGAGGACAGGGTCCCTTCACCCAGGTACCCAGGATGGGGGTGGCTTTTGCTGGGAGCAGAAGCAAAGTGTCTCGTCCCAAGATGGGATTAGGAGAAAACCTCACGTGGCCACGGCCTGAGCAAGGAGCTGGTGGGGGTCTGCAGTGACACTTGGGTTGCAACAGGAAAGGGATGCAGTAGTGCCAGTGTCTGTGTGGAGGAGGCAGAGGTTTTTACCACCCATGTTTGGGAGCAGCATTGGGGGCACGGCTTCACTAAGGTCAGCTTCCCTGCCCTAAGGTGCTCCTTTCCCATGTGCCTGCCAGGCCAGGGTCGTGTGCAGGTGTGGGAGGCGCTGCCTTGTTCTCCTCTTCTCAAGACCTCCCTGATGACGTCCTGACTTTCATCAAGGCACACCCACTGCTAGACCCCGCTGTGCCACCTGCCACCCATCAGCCTCTCCTCACGCTCAGTAACAGGTATGGGGCTATGAAACACTGGCCACTGCCCCCTGTCCTTAGCCGCTCTTCCTTCTCTGGCTTTCCAGAGTCAATTCCATTGGTGGGAGTAAAAGCTCTCGAAGGCAGAAGGGGGAGAGCGAAGAAGGGAGCCCCAGAGGGTGCAAGGGAAGGACACTGGAGCGGGAACCTGGGTTCTAACCTTCAGCTAGACAGGTTGCCCTCACCCAAGGCCTATCACTCCAGGGCGCTATTGACCCAGGTAGCTGTGGACGGTATGGCTGGCCCCCATAGTAACACCACCGTCCTGTTCCTTGGCTCCAATGACGGGACAGTGCTGAAGGTGCTGCCCCCAGGGGGGCAATCCGGGGAGCCTGAGCCCATCCTATTGGAAGAGATTGATGCCTACAGCCCTTCGCGGTGAGTCTCTGGAGGGCTGCTCTCTGAGGGGCAGAGGTGGGCTGGGAGGTGGCACATGGCTGTGTGGGAATGGACTAGGAACTCTAGTGATGGCTTTTGATGGGCCAGGAGCGGTGGGTCGAGAAAGGAGCATGGTGAGGAGGCCTGAGCACACAGCTTAGTTTGTGGCCTCCCTTCCTGTTCATCGTTTTGGGCAAAAGGGAACCTCGCTTGCTGCATTCTCATTCCTTCTGGCCTCACCCTAGGTGCAGCGGGAAGCGGGCAGCCCACACAGCACGACGGATTATAGGGCTGGAGCTGGACACTGAAGGTCACAGGCTTTTTGTGGCCTTCTCTGGCTGTATTGTCTACCTCCCTCTGAGCCGCTGTGCCAGACATGGGGCCTGTCAAAGGTAAGAGGGGCCTGAAATCCAGTGGCACTGCCTCGCCAGGCTTCCTGGGTAGCAAGAGCGCAGAGTGGGCTGGAGGGGATGCTTGGGGTAAAAGGGTACTTGAACATTCTAAAGGGGACTAACAACCAAAGCCTCGAGGGCAGGCTGGGATGGGAATATGGAGCCGGGAACTTCCCGTAAGCCAGGGGAAGAGTAGAAAAGGCTGTGAAATGGAATGTGACCGGAGTGAAGGGGGTCCCAGTCTCATATGACTCAGTTTCCCTTAGGAGTTGTCTGGCTTCTCGGGACCCATACTGTGGATGGCACAGCTCCAGAGGCTGTGTGGATATCAGAGGACCTGGTGGGTAAGTAAGGAGCCCGTAGATCTGAGGATAATATTCTCCACCACTAAAGAAGGGAAGCCTGGGAAGCGGGGAGGGAGGACGACAGGAGAGTAAAGCTAGGGGACTGTGCTAGGGAGTGGGAAGCAGGGAGGGTGAAGGGAGGGTGAAGGAGGGGTGAATGTGATTGAAGAGCAGGTATGAAAATAGAATAATGAAACCTCTTCCAAGTGTTCAAAAGGGGGAGGGGGTGAAAAAGATTAATAGGGGGGATGAATTTGATCAAAGTACATTATATGCCTGTATGGAAATATCTAATGAAACTCTGTTCCAATTAATATACACTGATACTATATTAGAGAGAAAAAGAATTAAAAGGATTGAGAAATAAAGGAGGTGTGGGAGATGGGGATGAGGCACAGACCGGCTCTGAGTTGCCTCCTTTTCCTTCTAGGGCTGATGTGGCCCTCGCTGGGAACCATGAGCCCACGGAGCATGGTGACTGTCGAGGTAAACAGAGGCACCCAGCTGCACATGGCCTCATGGCCACATCTCAGGCCATGTCTCCTCACCTTCAGTTCCACCTCCTTCAGCTCTTTCTGAAGCTTCCTCCTACCCCCGTGTTTACCCTCTATTTTCTTCATAGATGGAGCCACCGGGAGTCAGTCTGGCCCTGGGGACTCTGCTTACGGTGAGTTCTCTTGTTCCAGCTCTCCTTCCCCTTGCTCAGCCTCCATACCAACTCTGTGGCCAAGAGCAGCAGCAGACAGCACTCTGCACACCTCATGGTCCCAGAAAAGGGTCAGCATCCTCCAGATACCAGCATCTGGCTCAATGCCTGGATGCTTGATAAATAGGACTTAGAACAAATAAAGGTTGTGTACGGTGAGCCCTTCCACTCCAAAAGGAAGTACAGATTAGAGTTCTGAACTCTTAGGTTCCGAAGATGGGGGAAGAGGGGAAGAGAACCTTTGTATGGGGGTCGCAGGGGAGGGAGAGCAGGAGCCTCACCGGCTCTGACCTGGTCTCTGTCACCAGTGCTTCTGGGTCCTGGCCCTTCCCTTGAGACCCCCAGTTCCCCCAGTGATGTCCACCCCGGGCCCCTGTCTTCCACTCTTGGAGCTCACACTGAGGGTAAGGGGACTTACCTGGGAGGGCCGAGGAGTGCAGTGTGGGGCTGCTGACGGTTGGAGAGTCCTAAGGCTGGTGTGGGGTGCCCACTAACGCCTGTGTGGGGCCTTCCTTGCCCAGAGCTGGGCATCGCAGCCCGCCTCCCCCTGCACGAGCAGTTTGGCAGAGGTTCTTGGCATGGCTCACAGGGGCCAGGCTGGGCTGGAGACTCCCCAGACCTATGCCCCAGCCGGTGGGGGGGGCCGCGGGGCGGGGGGGGGGGCAGGCGGTGAGGTCTGATCCGAGGCGCCACGCGACTGGTGTTAAGACTTCCTGAACTTGCCCTGGAGGCCCAGCCTCCGCGGCCTCCGCGGGGCTGAGCCTCCCTCCTCCCTCTCGGTCGGCAGGCGTGCGCCGGGACCTCCTCCCCGCCTCGGCCTCCCGCTCCGTCCCCATCCCGCTGCTCCTGGCCAGTGTGGCCGCAGCCTTCGCCTTGGGCGCCTCGGTCTCCGGCCTCCTGGTCTCCTGTGTGTGTCGCCGCACCCACCACCGTCGGAACAAGGACGTGGAGTCGCCGGTGCTCCCGCGCCCTCTCTCGCTTCGCAGCCTGGCCCGGCTGCACGGGGCCGGCCTGGAGCCCCCGCCGCCGTCCAAGGACGCCGACCCGGCGCCGGCGCCGCAGCTCTACACCACCTTCCTGCCTCCGCCCGAGGCCGGGCCTCCGCCCGAGCTGGCCTGCCTGCCCACGCCCGAGTCCACGCCCGAGCTGCCCGTCAAGCACCTCCGCGCCTCCGGGGGCCCGTGGGAGTGGAACCAGAACGGGAACAACGCCAAGGAGGGTCCGGGGCGCGCGCGGGGCGGCCACGCGGCCGGCGGGCCCGCGCCGCGCGTGCTGGTGAGGCCGCCGCCGCCCGGCTGCCCGGGGCAGGCGGTGGAGGTGACCACGCTGGAGGAACTGCTGCGCTACCTGCACGGCCCGCAGCCGCCCCGCAAGGCCGCCGAGCCCCCGGCCCCGTTCACCTGCCGGCCGCTCCCGCCCGAGCCGGCCCCCAGCCCCCCCCTCTTCGCGGACTCGGGGGCGCTCCCCCGAGAATGCGCGCCGCCCCTCCGGCTGGACGTGCCCCCCGACGGCCAGGGCGCCGCGCCCGCCGCCCCCACGCGGCCCGCGCTCTCCGCCCCGGCTCCCCGCCTCGGCGTCGGGGGGAGCCGCCGCCTGCCGTTCCCCACGCACCGGGCGCCCCCGGCGCTGCTCACCCGAGTCCCCTCCGGGGGCCCCTCCAGGTACTCCGGGGGGCCCGGGAGACACCTCCTGTACCTGGGCCGTGCCGAGGGCTACCGCGGCCGCGCCCCGAAGAGGGTGGACGTCGACAAGTCCCCGTTGTCCCCCAAGTCTCCCCTCGTCGGGGCCGCCCCTCAGGGCAGCCATTTTAACTTTTAGAGGCTGCTGCTGGGGCGCCCGGGCCCCGGCCCCCCCAGCCTCCCCGAGGATCGCCACCGCCCTCTCCGCCCCGCGCCTCCAGCCTTCCTGGACTCTGAGAGTCTCCCGGGCTCCCCCCCCCCCCCGGCCCCGGGCTTATTTATTACCGTCGATTGTCTCCCCCCCCCCCCCCATCCCCGAGAGGGGGGTGGGAGGCGCGAAGCTCGTCCTCCCGGTGAGCCAGCGTTTTGGGGGGAAACGGCCGACTCCCACCCCCACCCCCTTCCCTTCCAGCCAAGCTGCCTTAACTCGCCCCTCCGGGCGTCCTCGGAGGACTGGGCCCCGGGCGGGCCGCACGGCGGGCCGGAGGGTGGATGGACCGGGCTGGGGCCACGCGCGCGTTGTGTACAGAGTTCTCGGCCCCCCCGGGACTGGGACGTGCCTCCTCCTACTATGTAGGAGCCCCCGCTCCCCAATACAGCTGTGTCCCCGAGCCGCTGCCTGACTTCACTCGCGCCGGGGAGGGCGGGCAGGGGAGGGCGGGCAGGGCGGGGTCGGCCAGCGCCCCCCCCACGGCCCCCGCAGCCGCCGTCACCGTGGCCTCGCGCGCTCTCCCGGGGCGCTGGGAAGGCTGCCGTCCCGCCGGGGTTAATCAGGAAAGGTTTCCTGAAGGAGACGCGCGAAGACACGGCGCGTGGGGGATGAGCCGGGGCCCGCGGGACCCGCGGCGAGAGGTGAGGTGGTGGTGAGGGACGCGCGCAGGCGGGAAGGGGCGGTTTCGAGGCCTAGGCTGGGGGGGAAGAGGGAGTTTTTTTTTTACCCCCTTTGAGAAATAAAATGAAGCAGCTTGATCGGAGTTTCACATCAGGAAATCTCGTCCTAAAGAGAATTAGACTTGTAGAGCCTGCAAAAACAAACACCCGGCAGAGAGGATTCCTCAGCCCTGTTGGAGGCAAGAGTTTGCCCCAGCATTGGGGGGGGGGGGAGCAGCTCCCCTTCAGTTAGCGGTAGAGGGTTTCATGCACGCATGCGCAGCCTCCCCTCCTGGAGCCTCCTGGCCGGCCGCTTGCCCAGAAACCCAGCGCGCCGCGCCGGGGATCAGCTCGCGTGTGCCCGTCGTGACGATGCTCCATTCCTTGGGCCGGTGCTGGCTGCAGATACCTGTTTATAGACCCTTGGGTACCGAGGGGAAGCACCGGACCATCTGCCCCGCCCACCCCCTGGAGTTAAGGACACTTAAGGCCTCGCGTGGGCGGCGCCTGCACTGGCGGATTTGCAAGTCCGGCTTTTCGCCCGCGCGTGGTGAGAACCATCCGCCCACTTGCAGCCCTGCGCCATCTCCAGCGCGCGCCGCCTAGAGGTAGGCCCACGTCCTGCAGCCCAGGGACTCATTAGTTCCTCTCTCCATTAGCTTAAACGGTCTTGGCTCAGACCAAGAAGAAAGAATTACTATCCCTCCTCCCGTCACTACTTGCGAAATAATGGGGTCGCTCAAGTGCTAAGGAGAAAGCGTGTTGGGGGTTCCTACAGAGTCATGCTTAGCAGTACGCTTTTACTAGGCAACAGTTTCCTTTTGCATCCTTATAAGCTTTGCGTGCATATTTTCCCCTCTGAATGGTTCTCGAATGCCACTTAAGCTTATTTGGACAAATTTGGTTGTCCTCCAGAATTTAATCTTTCTCCTTAGCAACTTTTCCAACAAACCTCGGTTTTTCCCTTCTTGGATTCTGCTTTGGGGCCATCGTTACTGAGACTGTATAAAATAGGGGCGGAAGGTTTTTCCAGTCACCTGACTTCATTAAAACTTCTTCAAATCAGTATGGTAAAGCAAGGATAAGGAAAAGAAAGCCTGAAGCCTAAAAACTGTCTCTGCGGAACTACTCTCACAGTTCTTACCCTGAAGGTAGCTCTAAGCAAAGGGGTAAATGATCTACAGGTTTAAAAACAAACTGAGAACTGGCGCTGGTGGCTCACGCCTGTAACCCTAGCTACTAAGGAGGCTGAGATATGAGGATCTCGGTTCAAAGCCAGACTGGGCAGGAAAATCTGTGAGACTCTTATCTCAAATTAACCACCAGAAAACAGGAAGTGGCACTGTGGTGCACGTGGTAGAGCACTCACCTCGAGCTGAAGAGCTGAGGGACAGCGCCCAGGCCCAGAGTTCAAAGCCCCACAACCAACAAAACAATAAAAACAAAAGAGACAGATAACTATAGCTTATGTTTGTAATCCTAGTTACTCTAGGCTGAGATTTGAGGATTGCAATCCAAAGCCAGACAGAACTGGAAAGTCTCGTCTCAGACTTTAATCCAGCAAAAAGTCGAGAATGGATCTTTGGCTCAATGGTAGAGTGCTAGCCTTGATCAAAAAATCTCAGGGAAAAAGCCAGGCACTGGTTCACGCCTGTAATCCTAGCTACTCAGAAGGCTGAGATCTGAGGATCATGGTTCTAAAGCCAGCCAGGGCAGCAAAGTCTTCGAGACTTTTATCTCCAATTAACCACCAGAAAACCGGAAGTGATGCTGTAGTTCAAGTGGTAGAGTGCTAGCCTTGAGCTGAAGAGATGAGGGACAATGCCTAAACCCAGAGTTCAAGCCCCAGGACTTGCACAAAACAAAACAAAAAGATAACTAAGAAGGAAGTCTTTTCATGGGGGAGTTGGTTCTACTAATTGGTTCATACTAAAATCTGTGGATACTCAAGTCCCTCATATAAAATGTCATTGTAGGGGCTAGGAAGGTGGCTCAGTGGTAGAGTGCTTGCCTTGCATGCATGAGGCCCTGGGTTTGATTACTCAGCACCACATAAGCAGAAAAAGCTGGAAGTGGCGCTTTGGCTCAAGTGGTAGGGCACTAGCCTTGAGCTGAAGAGCTGAGGGACAGTGCCCAGGTCCAGAGTTCAGGCCCCATGACCAAAAAAAAAAAAAAAAAAGTCATTATATTTGTATATAACCTATGTGTATATACTTCAGTATACTTTAAAGCATCTCTTGATTAAAATCATAATCTCTCAAAACAATAATCCCTAATGCAATATAAATACTATGTAAACTGCTGTTAATACTGTATTGTTTAGAAACAATGGCAAGAGATAAAAAGTCCACATATTCAGCAAAGACAGTTTATTCCCACCAAATATTTTTGACCTGTGGCTAGTTGAATCTGTAGATTCAATCCAGACATACTGAGGTCAAGTATATATGCAGTAGAAATTTAGTGTTGTAATTCTTTGCGAGCAGCAGCAATTTACAGATAAAGTCCTGGTTGTAATTTAATTGTAAAAGATGGTCATTTATTAGTATATATGACTATGGTGACTTCTCTTGCCCATAATGTCTTAGCTGGACTCTCAGGGCCAATAGAAACTCCTATGTTGTATTAAGTATAACAGTCCTTGGGCCAGGCACTGGTAGCTCACGCCTGTAATCCTATTTACTCAGAAGGCTGAGAGCTGAGGATCGTGGTTCAAAGCCAGTTTGGGCCATAAAGTCCATGAGATGCTTATCTACAATTAACCACCAGAAAACTGAAAGTGGCACTGTGTCTCAAAGTGGTACAAGGCTATTTTTGAGCAAAAGAACTCAGGGACAGCCTGGCCCCTGAGTTCAAGCCCCACTACTGACCAAAACAAACAAACAAAAAACAGCCCTACTACTTGCTTTGTATGTGATGTTAGCAATTCAACTAACTCTCCTGGACAGTTTTATTTATTTATTTATTTATTTATTTTGCCAGTCGTCGGACCTGAATTCTGGGCCTGGGCACTGTCCCTCAGCTCTTCAGCTCAAGGCTAGTGCTCTACCACTTGAGCCACAGCGCCATTTCCAGCTTTGTCTGTTTATGTGGTGCTGAGGAATCGAACCCAGGGCCTCATGCATGCAAGGCAAGCACTCTACCACTGAGCCACCTTCTCAGCCCCTTTTATTTTTTTGTTTTGTTTTTTTGTTGATCATGGGGCCTGAACTCTGGGCTTGGGCGCTGTCCCTCAGCTCTTCAGCTCAAGGCTAGCACTCTACCACTTGAGCCACACTTCCAGCTTTGTCTGCCTATATGGTGCTGAGGAATTGAACTCAGGGCCTCATTCATGCAAGGAAAGCACTCTACCATGAAGTCACCTGTGAAGAGGCTCAGTGAGGGGGTTTGGATTCAGGGCCTGGGCATTGTCCCTGAGCTTCTTTTTGCGTAAGGCTAATACTCTACCACTTGAGCCACAGAGCCTCTTCCAGCTTTTTCTATTTACGTGATACTGAGGAATCAAACCCAGGGCTTTATGCATGCTAGGCAAGCACTCTGCCACTAAGCCACATTCCTAGCCCTGCAGTTTTTTTTGTAAGGAATGGAGAGAACATATACCTTTTTTTGTTGTTGTTGTCAGTTGTGGGGCTTGAACTCTGGGCTTGGGCGCTATCCTTGAGCTCTTCAGCTAAAGGTGAGCTCTCTACCCCTTGAGCCACAGCCCCACGTCCAGTTTTCTGGTGTTTAATTGGAGATGCCCGGGCTGGCTTTGAGCTTTGGTTGATATCTTCATATATCAACCTCTTGAGTAGCTAGGATTATAGGCATGAGCCACCAGGCCTGGCAAGAACATATACTAATAGAAGTTTGTGAAACACTATATAAATAGATACTTAAATTACGTACTTCAGTCTAGGGATCTGTTTTCGTGGTAGAGTGCTTCCGGAGCATGTGCAAGACCCTAGGTGGATTCCTAGAACTGCAAAATAAAAACCTCAGTTAAGTTATTTAGCCAGTCATGGTAGTATATGCCTTAATCACAGCTGTTAGGGAAGTTAGGAGGATTGTGAGTTCAAGGACAGCTTTACTCTGCCTCATAAAAACCCAAACAAACCCTGCCTCAAAGTACAATACTACCAAGTATGTAATTCATTAATACTCGTGAGATACTTCCTCCTGATAGATTACCATAGTGAATAAAGGGGATGAATTCAAGAAATTACTATTGTGGATGACAGAAGGATAAACATATCTTTAGCCAGGGGCTGATGGCTCACAACTGTTATTATAACTGCTCAGGAGGCTTTAATCCAAAGGATTGAGGTTCAAAGCCAGCCT